TTCATTTTTAAGAAAGAAAAAGATGTATATTCACTTGACAGAATCAATCCATATGCTTAAAGTATAGTTTCCTAAGGTTTAGTGAGGTGTGGTTTTCAATGATAATTACAGCTCATGAAGGGAAAAACATATAGTGATTACATGAACAATCACATCTATTATTTATAATTGTTAAAAGCGGTAAGTAACCACCGGTTGTTCACCAAAAAAAAATTCCAAGTTTTCTGAGCACTTTTTTTTTTTTTTTTTTTACGTACTTTTTAAAGTTTAACTTTTGAATGCTGATAACATGTGATGTTCAACACCTATTATCTATTTGGAAGTTGAAATGCATAGAAAGTGCTTTAAAAACATTATTCACTTCTGAGCTTTATCTAGTCAAATAAATATTTTGCAAGTGTAAAAAAAATCATCCTTGAACTATGAGCAAACTGAGAAATCATAGAGATTAAAAATAAAACCATGGAGACATAGATGAAAAGTTAATTATGAAGAAAAGAAAACAATTGGAAATGAGAAAAACGTGAAACACTATAGTACTAATCAAATGGCAATGCCAGATACCATGCTGAAAAACATATTACAGGAAAAATACAACAGCCAGGAGGAATGAAGTTATGTATAAGACATCTACAAATTTTAACAGAGAGCAACAAAGTAATGGCACTTGCATAAATGGGTATTGCAATAAAATAGCACCCATACAAGGATACTTTTAAAAGTTTGTGGAAAAAATGAATTAAACGGTAATACAAAACTTTCCATGAACTTTTTAAAGACTCCTTGTTAGTTACAAACAATATAGCACTCTCAAGAGTTTTAATCATTGAACATTTGGAAGGTTTTGAGAACAAAATTAATTTGGTGTGCATTACAACATATAAAAATAGGCATTATTTTATTAATAACTATTAAAAACTCCTAGAAAATATATTCTTTTAACATACACAGTAGAGTTAAAGAGTAGAGAAAAATACAATCTCGCTATGATGTAAAAGCTGAGCAGATCACTAAGCTTATTTACTAGCTAAGTGACTCATGGCAGAAAAAAAATAGCCTTACAAATCCATTCCTCAAAAACGTGACTAATTGAACCTAACATTGAATCTTTAAGGTCATCTGTGGTAAACGGAAATTCCAAATGGAAATTCTGTAAATACAACAGATATAAAATAAGGCATTAAAAAATGGATTTCAATTCATGGACTGCTCTGGAAAAGTTTGGCAGTTTCATTTATAAAACTAAACACACAACTAACATGATACAGCAATTGCTCCCTTGGCTTGGTCCAAGAAAAATGGAAACATATCTTCATACAAAAAATTTGTATATGGATGTTCACAGCAGCTTTATTTGTAATAGCCCCAAAATGGAAACAACCCAAACATCCTTCAATAGGTGAATATTAAACTATAGTACACCCATACTATGGAATACTACTCAGCAATAAAATGAATGAACTATTAATACATGCAGAAACCTAGATGAATACCCAGAGAATTATGATGAATGAAAAAATGCCAATCTCCAAAGGCTATGTGCTACATGATTCCACGTGATTTGATGAGCCATTCTTGAAATGACAAAATTATTGAAATGGAGATCAGGTTAGTGGTTGTCAGGGGAGAAGAAAGGAATACAATTGTGGGGTGGGGGGAGATGAGGCTATAAAAGGGTGAGAGGGATTTTTGTGGTAATGGAAATATTCTGTATCTTGACAGTATCAATGTCAATAGACTGGTTGTATACAGTATTATAGTTTTATAAGATGATACCACTTGGTGAAACCAAGATTCCTACAAGGAATCTTTCCAAATTATTTCTCTCAACTGTATGTGAATTTATATTACCTCGAAATAAAAATTTTAATAAAAAATCATACTGATGAGCAATTTCATGAGCCCTGGATAGAAAAAAGCAAAAACAATATATAGCACAGAGGATGAGAACTCATTCATAGGTCAAACTGCCAGGTTCAAACCCTGCTTCGCCAATTATCACAAAGCTCTTGGAAAAGTTACCTATGTCTTCAAG